AGGAAAGTTGATGGTAATATGCATTCTTATCTAATATTTTAAGTGACGAATGCAACGATTACGATATGGGTGACAAGCATATCCATTCTTAACGCGTCAAGATTCAATTTTACTTTATTGTCTCTCTTTTTATCTTCTTCTTTATCTTGAAATCTTTCTTGATAAGACTTTGAAGTTGGGTTAATTTCATAAAATCTCCCTAAACTTTGGGAGATGTTGTACATAACCCTTTAAATTTTGTTTATCTCACATAAGCTTCTGAACTATGGGATGTCTCACAACAACCCCATCCACCCTTACCTTATCTCACATAACCCCCCTACCTGTAATTTGCAAATAACCTACATACTCCCTCCTCTAAGTTTTAAGTTTTTTCTCATAAAGAAAATTTTAATTATTTGTAAATTATAGATGGGGGGTTAACTGAGATAAAATAAAATTTAAGGGGTTTTTGTCAAATAATCCCTAGTTTAGAGCGGTTATGTGAATTGTGAGATAAACAAAATTCAAAAAGGGTTTATGTGCGACACCCACCAATTCAGGAGGGTTTTGATAAGTTAACCCTTTTGAACTTTAATCTTTAATACTTAATGGTGGATCATTCAAATAAACAATCCATTTTGTTCATAAGATGCTCAGAATAGAAAACCATGCGCCCTTTGAAACGTTTTTTGTCGTCTGCATAGCAGAACCTTCCATTATATGTGTGAGCCATAAATATAAATCTTTATAGCAGATAATTTTATTACATGCAAATTTAAGATCACAATTTTATTACATGCAAATTTAAGATCACATAGATCAATATAAGCAATATAGGACATATCGCAGGATAATTAATTTAGTTTATAATCTATAGCACTGATTGCTTGTTTTCATGGATTTCTGAAGAATGTGTGGAATGTAAGTTCTACTTTGGCACTATTGTCAGCGTCAAAATCTTCAATCAATTTTGATGGAATAAAGATTTGTATCGGAAAACCTTACAATCAAATTTGATGGAGAAAAAATTTATATGTGAACACACTATAAAATAGAATGGTATCACTTATGAACGGTTAGATAATTAACTAGAAAATTGTGATCATTCTATCAATGATTTAAACCACCTTATTCTATCATGTTATCAAATTTTTCTTTCTAAAATAATCTCATCACACATAGATTTTTAAGAAAAAGGGAAGTATAGATCTCGTTTTAACTTTCCATGTATCTATCCACACATTCAAATAAAAGAAGGGGAAATTTTTGAAGATTTGGAAATTTAAAGTGGATAGCGTTATAAATCCAATATCCTTCGTGTTCATCCAAACAATTTCAACAGAGCAAATGATTTTTTTAAGATTTTTTTTTTGGGGGTGGGGGTGGAGGCATAGAGATTGTGCACAAGAATTGTACTAATTTCATACGTACTACACATGAAAAAAAGAGAGTATATTTTCCTTATAAATTACACATATAAGTTATAAATTGCTATGGACTACTCTTTTGTGTCTAGTAATACAAGAATAATACAACTATTATAATACACTTATTAGCATTTTCTTTTGACAGCATTACTCATTAAGGCCTCGTTTGGTAGGCAGGAATGGGGTGGAATGGAATGGCATTCTCACTTCCCATTCCTTCATACCAAACAAACCAACTTTTTAGATGTTGGAATGACCATTCCCAGGGAATGACCATTCTCACTTTTTGTGGGAATGGACATTCCAAGTGAGAAGATAGGGAATGGTCATTCCCATTCAAGGGAGAATCAAATCAGTTATTTATTTTTTAATTATACCCCTATTAATAATAAAAATAAACCAAAAAATAATGGCTCTTTGACTAAGTATTAGGGAATGTAAATCAGCTTTTCCTTCTTTTTAGCCTGCACCAAAATAAACGCCTCCTATCTTTCTATTCTGAAATCGCCGTGCCGTCACCTCTCCTTCCTTACTTCAATCCCAACCCCAACCCCTCCTCCCCCACCTCTTACTCTGCCGCCTCAACCGCCTCTCGAACCCAGAGCCTCCGACGACGCCTCCACCTCGGCATCGCCTCTTCCACTGAAGTCACCGCCACGCCTGGCATCGCCTTTCTCTTCAACGACCGAGCCAAATAGAACATACACTTGAGAGATAACATGCGCATTAGTATAACATGCACAGAAATTAGTATAACCTATGCATAAATAAAATTGTTTAGTTATTATCATTAATGTTTATTTTTATCTTATTAAAAATATATGTTGTTGTAAGGACACTATTAGAAAATGCGATTCCATTCTCACTTGTGAACAAGTGATACCAAACATGGGAATGGGAATAAGATTTTCATTCTAGCTTCATTCTACAAAAGTACCCAAACATGAGAATGGGAATGACCATTCCATTCCCACATACAATCCATTCCATTCCTTCTTCTATTCCATTCTCACTTATGTCCATTCCTGCGTACCAAACGAGGCGTTGATTGAGAACTTGCCGAGCTCGAGGCCACCTATGAATTTTGCCAACACGTAAAAAAAAAGGCTTCGATGTTTGTCCTTTGAATCATTTAAATCACTTAGGTGCCTTTTGACTTATAAGTTGTTTCTAAATTAATCTCTAAAACTATTGAAATTTCTATTAGATCTCTGAAAAGTTGTTTCAAATTAATCTATAGAGTAACAACAATCATATTTAAGAATTCGGAGGCCTAATAACAATTTAGTTATTTAAGAGCTAATTCAAATACTAAAGTTGCAAAGTATTCTAATATCAAAATATTTTAATATTCGAGCTCAAGGCCGACCACGATGTTTGCGAACCATAGCACAATCAAGCCATATACTATGTTCATAGCCCGTTAAGGTTTAGGAACGCCCAAAAACATGTAGCTATTGTAATTTTATGCAGATTAACTCATAAGCGGTGTATAAATTGGAAGAAGTTATCGCAAAGTGGATATTTACTAGAACATTTTACAAGAACCTCTTCCTAATGCATTTATTAGTTGAAGATGACTTCTCCATTCTACATCGTGATTTTGGTTTGCAAAAGAAATCTAGAGGGCGACTGATGGGGGTGAGATATATTATACAAAGAGAGAGAAATTAAATTTTGTATTAGATTGAGTTAGGTATCTTTTTCTCTTAAAAACGATACACGAACATGTGAGTCGATAAGATAAATAACAAAAGATAAATTCTGTTAATTATGGTGTTAGAAGATAGGTATTAAAGGAAGAAACAAAGTTCAGTGCTTTTAATTTTGTTTTGAAAAAAAAAACTAGAAAATATAAAAGAATGTAAAAACTTATAAGATATATGATGCGATATATATTCAGGAACTTTGTGAGTTTTTCAGAATAGTATTGATCATGAAGAGTTTTTTTAAAAACTCACAATTTTAAAGGGAGTGTGAAATTATAATAACAGTAAAATTTTGGGTAATTACTAACCAAAGAATAAAGGAAAAAAAACGTACGGTGAGAGGGGCACTAACGGGTGATCCACACAAAAAAGCGAAATAAAATAAAATCCATTACTAGATATGGATGACGATATGGTGGGCGGCGAGGCAAAATTTTTTTTTTTCCCGTGTTTCCTTCGGAGAAAAAAAAAATAGAAAATTGCGGTGGCAGCCAGGTAATTCTAATAAGAAGCAGGGGTAATTCTTGCCATGCTTGCGGGAATCTATTATAGGGGTCACCAGGTCTCCCTTCTCTCTGCTTGTAGCACTCTTCCTTCTCTAAATTCTCCTCTTTACTCCCTTGATTCTCTGCGTTTGAAGCTCAACTGTGACCAGGATATTGTCAACAGGTGTGCTCAAAATTGACCTGGGCTCCTTTAATTCTTCATTAAAAGCGTCTCTTTGATGAATTTATGATATGGGTCTTCTCCATATCCTGGTGATGTTTGTAATAACTTTCTAGTGCTTATGCTGAAAATTGATGTGGGTTCATTTAGTTCTTCATAAAAATCGTCTTTTTTTATGTATTCGTGATATGGGTCTTTTCCATCTGTAAGAATTGTATACCATTTCTAGATCTGTGAGCTTTTTATTGAGCTTTTTTCAGGTTTTTTTTTATGGGTTATCCTTCTTTTTCCATGCTGAAGGGTTTTTGCTGTGTTTCATGTGACGTTTAATTTTCTGTATCTACTTTTATAAATTTTCAAATCGAGGATTGTTTCAATTTATTTATTTTTGTGAGATTTGGTTTATAAGAATTTGTGAAAGTTTTTTTTTTTTTTTTTGCCCCCTCTACCTAGAAAGATATGACAGGGGAAATTTTGATCTTTGGGAGATGATTATGGGTTTGGAGGAGAAAATTCTGTGGTTAGAGTTAGGTGGAGCTTGAGATAGGTTATGTTTCTTCTTTTTACCCTTTTCATTTTTTAGGATAATGAATTGTGATAATTGAATGGTGTAGTTTAATTTCTGAAACAATTATATGGGGTTGGGGTGTTATAGTCTCGGTTCTTTTGTCTTTATACATTTCTTTTTATTTTCCCCCTGACCTTTTTCTTCTCTATTCGCCTCTTTGGTGGTTGAAACTAGATTCAAGGAACTTTTTGTTTTGAAGATTAGTCCTACTTTCTGACAAATTTTTTTTATTACTGAAATGAGCATGCAGTTGATTGATTTCTGAATTTTGTTGAAGTTGTAACTTTATTGTCATCACGAATCCTAGAATTATAGGGCACACTGCATAAATTGAAGAAAAGTTTGTCTTGGAATGTGTTTTATTCGAAAATTTTGTCTACGGTGGTTAACTTCATTTAGATCTATCAGCTACTAATCATTTCCATTTGAATTGTTAGAAACATAGGGTTTTTTTCTATTATCTGGATTTTGTATTAATATAGAGTTGCAAATTTACTAGCTAATGTAAATATTATTAACATAATGGAACGTAAGAGCCTTAAGCCCTGAACTTTGTGAAATTGTGAAGGTTTGTTGGCGAATCTTGGGTGAACATGTATACTAGTTTTAGAGAACTGCAATGTCATGATTGATATGTTGATCTTTTGATGTTCCTTGTGATTTTTTCATAATCCCGTATTTAGAACTAGCTTAGAGTGATTTTTCAATGAATAAGTCAGATGACTTCTGTATATTTTCTAAGATCTTCCAAAAATAGACTTCACAACCTTTTGCCATATGGTTTAAATGTGCACGTAATTCTTTGAAGGAGTAAATTTGCAGAGCCCTCCAGTTGATTATTCGACAACATCTCTTACATTTGATGAAAAGTTTGTGAATACCTGGGGTTCAGCATTATAGTTTGGAGACTAGTAAATTGTTTCGATATCAGTCTTCAGTAAAATAGTTGACGGATGTATTCTAGTCTATTTCTTCTTTCTAGACTCATCGAAATCTTTCAGAAGCTAACAAACTAAGATAGGTTCTTTTCACTATTAAATTTTCTTGATTATTTACCATTTACATGCCTTCCGTTTCTTCTTCTCCTTCAGTACAACTAAGTTTTAGTGCTACCATACACTAATTTCTTACTGGTCTCAAATCAAATGTATACAAAGTCTTGTGAACTTTATAAATTTAAGAATGTTTCTTGTTCTACATCGTATATAGCTCTTTTTTTCGTATTTCTTGTCTTGTGTGGTTAATTATTATATGAAAACATGTACAGGATGAATGCTTATCAAAATTCTGTATTGTTTGTCAAAGGAAACAGGAAAAGAAACTGGGAGAAGATTTGCAGTTCCTCTACAATAAGGATCACTCTATGAGTTTTTGCAGGAATATCCAATTTATATAAAGGAAAACTGTAGAAGATAAGGATCCTTTCTATGTGATCTCTCATGCCTGGCCCGGAGATAAGCTACCCTACAAGTTACACATCTATGCAAGCTTCCAAGCAGTATAACAATCAGCTCAATTCGATGCCCATAAGGGAATCTACATCCCAAATCATTCCTCAAAACTTCCAGCCTTTAGCAGCCCCCCTTTGCTCCGGTAACGGGTCCCAAACAAAGCATACTTCCTCTCAAACCAATCAACTTCAGTACTGCACGCTTGACTCCTCATTGACTTATAACTCTCCATCCACTGTTAGTATTTCTCCTACAAGTGGAAGCCCTATATCTCACCAAGATTACCAATCTGACAACACCTATGGATCTCCTCCAAGTGTTTCTTGCATAACCGATGACCCAAATGATCTTCAGAACAAGCTACGAGAACTAGAGAACGCAATTCTCTGTACCGAGATGGAAAATCCAGTTGACAGTATCCAGAGTGCTTTACAGAGCCACCTCTCATTGGATACCGAGAATTGGATGCAAATAATGGGAATTCCTCAAGGAGATTTGAAGCGGGCGCTTATGGTATGTGCTCAAGCTGTGGCAGAGAACGATATCTCGTTGGCAGAATGGCTAATAGCACAGTTGAGGCCTATGGTTTCAGTCTCTGGGGATCCTGGACAAAGATTGGGAGCCTATATGCTTGAAGGACTTGTTGCTCGCTTGGCTTCCTCTGGTAGTTTGATCTATAAAGCTTTGCGGTGCAAAGAGCCTGCCAGCTCTGATCTTCTCTCTTATATGCATTTGCTCTATGAGGCCTGTCCTTACTTCAAATTTGGCTATCTGTCAGCAAATGGCGCTATTGCTGAAGCTTTCAAGGGGGAAGATAGGGTTCATATTATTGACTTCCAAATTGCACAAGGAACCCAATGGGTGACTCTCCTCCAAGCTTTGGCTAAGAGGCCCAGAGGGCCACCACATGTTAGAATAACAGGGATTGATGACTCTGTCTCCGCTTATGCTAGAGGAGGTGGCCTTCATATTGTAGGACAGAGACTGTCTCATTTTGCAAAGTCTTTAAATGTGCCTCTTGAGTTCCATCCTGCAGTACTGTCTGCTGGTGAAGTGCAGCCTCCTGATCTTTGGATTCAACCGGGAGAGGCTTTGGCTGTAAATTTTGCTTTCCAACTTCATCACTTACCCGATGAGAGTGTGAGCACTACAAATCAGCGTGACCGAGTCTTGAGGTTGGTGAAGAGTTTATCACCAAGGGTTGTTACTCTCGTGGAGCAAGAATCTAACACCAACACTGCTCCTTTCTTCCCGAGGTTTGTAGAAACTTTGGATTACTACACAGCTATCTTTGAATCGATAGATGTTGCCCTCCCAAGGGAGAACAAGGAGAGGATCAATGTTGAGCAGCACTGCTTGGCGAGGGACATAGTAAATATCATTGCTTGTGAGGGTGCTGAGAGGATTGAGAGGCACGAGCTCCTTGGGAAGTGGAAGGCAAGGTTTACAATGGCAGGGTTTACTCCGGTCCCACTTAGTCCACTGGTGAATGCTACTATCAAGGGGCTCCTAGAGAATTACCCAGAGAAGTTTAGGGTTGAAGAGAGAGACGGTGCTCTTTATCTTGGTTGGATGAATAGAGCTTTGGTCGTGTCCTGTGCATGGAGATGATTATCAAAGTTTGAGAAGACAGCGGTATACCTTCAAGCTCTAACTTTAAATGCATATTGTAGCTCTTTGCAGCTTCTAAGATTATAGTATGTTACTTCCTGATCTGAATCTGATTTTAGTTTGTAGCCTGTCAAACTTCAGAAAAATATCTTCGACTTTCTATGTTGTAATGCAAAGGTATAATGTCTAAAATGAAGTATCCAACTTTCTATGTGCTGTTGCACATCGATCATGTAATCTGGTTTTTTTGCATCATTAAGTTTGTGCTCATTTGTTTTGGGTTCCTTTTTACCATCATGATAAGTTGCATGTGAGGAAGGACTTTATTGCAAAATATATCTGATTGGGGGCATGTATGACGTGTAAGGATTTATGATTGTTATTACAAACTTTGAATACGGAAGTAAAGCCTAGCATGCTTATGCAAGCCAGCTTCCATTTTCCTAAGAAACTTTAGTCTGCATTAAGTTTTGATTCACTTGCAAATACTGACTCCTGAGGTATTGAAAAATGATGTCCGTCAGTATTTCATAGGAAAAATTTATGCTTTAAACGGTCAGTCGTATACATTATTCAACTTCTTAAACTGCAGTCCAAACACATCAAAACAATCTGTGAAGTCCAATGTCCTAGGTGAATGTGAAAATATACCTGCTGAGAGAACAAACTTTAGAACGAAATTATTAATTCTCATGATTTGGAAAGTATTTATGCCTTATAATCTTGTACTGCTCTCGTGTAGTTATAGCCTCTGCTCTTATGTGTTTCCTAAATAATGGCAAGGTTGGTGTGTGCATTATTAGTTGGTGCGTGCATTATCAGTTGGACGAACATTTCGTATGATTTCCTGACATGCATCATACGATGCCTTGCACGGCATCACATGCAAGACACATGTTGCGTACTAGTATTTAAAAAAGAGTCATGGTGGATTCCATGGTTGTAATGACTGAGATACCAGTGCAGAATGTTTTTGTTGAGAGCTGGAAAACAATCAGTGGTGGTGTTTGGCTGCAGGTGATCACAGCATCCACAATGACAACATCAATAGTGTGTTATATAGTTGTACTGAATTGGGTACAAAAGCTAGAGAAAAGATAGAATTAGATTCCTCTTTTCTTTTTAGCGCTTGCATTCCACTGTTTCTGCCACTTTGTCCATATCAACTTTTATTTCTCTACCAGATTGTCTTTCAACAGCCTAGCAATTAAGGGACATTCTACCTTTAGTTCCTTTTCAGCGTTCCCCGTTTTCCTTCTAAGTGAAAGGGACAAGTTTCTTGAATGTTGTATGAGAATGACAATGTTATAAGTGAATAAATGAAATTCCAAATTTCCTGTTCCCTTATAGATTCAAAACTCACGAGAGCGTTGCTTTCAGGTTCTGAAGCGGAATGTGATTTCAAAGAATGAAAAGGATGCAAGGAATTATATCCTTTTGAAGACAGCTCCTCTGGTGATGGATGCTTGCGATTTCAAGATATCGACACGAACGACCAGCCTTTGTCTCGTAACATCAATGATGGATACTAAGAATAAGATGGAAGGAATAATTGATTCACACGAGGAGGCAGAAAAGTTCACATTTTCTCACGTCCATCTTTACTTTTATGTCTCATGAAACCTTCATCTTATGATCTGTAAGAAAAATGAATTGACTTACCGGATTTGGTCAAGCATACAAGTCGTTTTGCTTTGCTTTAGCTATATAGTGGAGAACCAACGTTTTATCTCTATCATGTAATCTGAGATGTGGATCCCATATGTCGATATGCAATGCTTTCTGATGGTCACCTCTTCGATGATGGCTGATAGTTTCACACATGGTGTGCATGAATAGTTTCACACATGGTGTGCATGAAAGTGTATTAGGTAGAAGTTTTTCTCAACTTTCTCTCGACGTCAGCATCGATGACTTGATCAACATGTTCAGTACACAGACATTTCAGTGAGCAAATGAATTACATAGGTTTGACATTCAGGTCGACGACTGTGGCGTCATCAACGACTTGATCAATATGTTCAGTGCACAGACATCTCAGTGAGCAAATGAATTACATATGTTTGACGTCCAGGTCGACGACTGAAACAGAGGTTACCGGTAACAATCCTAGTGGTGGTTTTCGAGAGACCGGTCCTCTGTTCCTCAATCCTCGATCGTTTCATGGGAAATCACGGGCTCACTGACTTCGTCTAAACCGATACTGTGGAGGACCAACGTGACTATTAACATCGTTAAAATCTTCCATCGTCTTCACTGACTTAGTCTAAACCGATATTGTGGAGGATCAACGTGATTATTAATATCGTTAAAATCTTCCATCGTCTTCGCTCTCATGCGAGCAATCTCGAGCATCATCCATCGTCCATGGGTTAATCTATCGGTATAAAGTGTAACACGGACGAAGAATCATGGCCAACTACATCTGTATGATTTTTAACCATCCTGTGAGCACTTGACCCAGGATTTGCTCGTGCTAGCTGAAGCTCACCAACCTGTCAGACTCTGGCTGTATGTTAAAACTTCCTGATTCAAGTGACAATCTGAGATCTGTTAGGATCCCTAAAATTTCAAACATGTTTCCCACTTCATTCAAACAGAAGAATTAATTACAGAGAAAAAGTTTGTTTCAAAGAGATCAAACTTAATGAGATAAACCTTCAAAGGAAACACTACGATTTTTCCCTTCCCCCAGAGTCCAAGAATAATTCCAGATATGGTTTTTTCGATTAAAGCACATGATCTCTGCAAGAATTATTAGACAAACTAGGAAATATACTACAACAGTACAGTCTTTCTATGTTATAATAATACACTCTCTCCTTTGATAATCTTTCCTTGTACAGATAATGGCTTTTTCAACAGGGGGGGGGTTAACAGAAATGCCCAGAAACAAAGTTCCTCTGCTTTTTTTTCTTATCTCCACCATTTCTGAGATATTTTATAGAATATCCGAAAATTCTTCGACCATCTTTAGGTCCCATGATCACGTCGATCAAGTGCTCAGTGCTCACCAGCTTCCATATTATCTGATGGAGATGAACTATAGTACAACATAATACAGAGAATACAATTATGGGCCCATCACCAAATTTCCTGAATTCGGATAATAATGCTCAGATGAGTGGTTCACAGATGGAGCCCTGAAAGAAAATCCTTCTGCATTCCCTTCTCTTGATCCATATAAGCCATTGCCTGAGCTTCCATAAACAACTGATAATGGTGCCCTTTGAACCATAAGATTATTACCATCAGTATTGTGATTTGTACTGATCCCAACACCGAGGTTGAGGTTGACAGTAGTTTCTTCTGGCCTATTGTAGCAGTGAGAAGTCGGAATCGAGTTATAGGTAGTTCTTAGCATGCTACTGATACCCATAGGCATTTGAGTATTGAGAGGGCTGCTACCATTGTTAACCATGGGTGAAGCTGTATCATGACTGGAGTTTCTTGCAGCAGGTACATCGTGATTGTGTTTTCCTTCGTAAGTGGTTATTACGGCTTTTGGATCATGCGAAGCCCTCTCTACATGTTTCCTCACCGAGCAACCAACACTGGTGCATTTGTAGTAACTCCTATGATAAGAAACCAAAACAAAAAAATGCTGAAATGAAACAATAGCAGCTTCTAAATATTAGCTTCAAAATGAAATTTGTATTAATCTATACAGATTTAGAAATAATAACTACAGGACATATACTATTTTTCTAGATAACGGTAATTAAAAGGTTTAAGAAGATAAAGTATTTCCTATATTTGAGTAGGGCATATATGAATGTGACACTGCCCGTGAATTTAAGGTTGGACAACAAATATTAAGTTAAATTTTCAACATTAAAAATGTTCCATGTTCGAGATCTCACATGATAATTTTTGCACGAGTATGCATTGATGTTTTCAATTTCTGTTAGGAGTGTAATCCACCCACTTCTTGAAATTGCAGGTGTTGTTTTTGTGTTATGCAGACACTGCCTCACATTACCTTCTGCTTTCTTCAATTATTTTTATTTTCCCTGTTTTTCTGAAAGGCACTTATGACCACATTTTGCTGATACCAATGTCTGTAATTACTAATTAAGGAGAATAATTTTGACTTGCTATTGCCTTCTTCGAAAATTCGAGCAATTGATCACTTTTTATCCTGATTATACTCATGCTGCTCTTTTTTGGTTCTTGTAGCACACAACAGAGTATATACACAATGGTATAGGCGCTATATTAACTAGAGGTTTGCTTCAGAACTCCATAAAACTTATTTATATTTCTTTCCTTAGAAGTGGGCAAAAATGGGAGGGTCAAAAATATATAATCTTCGGTAACAAACATCTTTTCCTAACTGAATTCTTACAGCACAATGGCATTGGAGAAGAAACCAAAAAGAAACTTGGAAGGAGGGGGCAAAAGTCCATTACTTCAGTTCTGGCAAAAAAAAGATATCAGGAGGAAGATGACAGGAATAGAAGAACGATAGAAAAAAGAAAAGAAAGCTAATATGAATAATTAGATGGCAGAACTTGATGGTGGCCATGAGCAAATGACCATCTGGTGGGTGGTCATAAGTAGCCTATCCGGAGTGGACTTGATGAAACTTATGGAGATAAATTTGCAACAAAGATCAGCCAAAAAAAAAAAAGAGCAAAGCTAGTATCATTTATGCTTCAACTCTAAGATTACAGAATTGTCATCAGGATGGTTAACATCAAGGCATCAATGTCGAAGGATCCTGTAATTTATTTACTATTTACGCTATCCGTACTCCAGAAGAGAATTGTCGAGTACTGAAGTTGTATCCTATAAACAATTGTTATGCACCTCTTAGTCATCTGCTATCAGTGTGCACTTAACCAAAACTTTAAGGCAGAAGCTTATATTTGACTCTTGATGCATCCAAACAGTTTCTTTATTAATTACATAGAGCCCCCATAATCTAGCTTCCATAAAGCATGTCCACAGTACAACCATGTCTAATAAAAGACAAACATTTGCTACCTCACTCTATTACTCTGTTTTAGCACATATAAATAAAGGTAGACTATGATATCTTTCTACTTCAAAATTAAATAAAAGCAAAATACCAATGGAAAAACAGACTGTGTGGATCAAACAATAGAAGTGTAAAGAACACAAAGAATTCCTTGCAACATCCTCAAACTGTGAATGTTTACATGCATATACAGGTAACTGATTGTGTGTAAGAAGATGAATGGTGCATAACTAACATAACCTTTTTTTAAAAAGATCCTAATTTCTTCTCTGAAATTTTGGAGCTAACATATTCTCTGTCACCTTAAATTTTCTGATGCAAGCTCATATTTTAAAAGGGGTAGAGGAAACTTGTATCGGGGGATGTTTCTGAAAAGTTTAAAACTTCCAGATGGTGTTTCTTTAACCCTGCAAACACATTACGTTTCTCAAAATATGACGAAAAAAACTAGATTTGTTCATTTACACCTCTAAGCACTTGGCGCATAGAAACAAATTCCTCTACCATAAAAAAGGGTAAGAATAAGTAAGTGCTGTACACAATACGTTTAAAGCTTTTCTTTATATACCTTGGATTGGGATTCCCTTTCACGACTTTCTGTCCATATTTGCGCCAGCGGTACCCATCATCTAGGATATCAACTTCACTGATAGTTTGTACAACTACTCGAGGTTCTCGGTTGTTTTTACCAATTTGTGTAGCATCAAAAGTAGCATTGTCCATCTTCCTGTTTATATTTTTATTTTCCAACAATTAGATGCACATTGTGACAATTTTCATGAATAATCTTAAATGAAATGTAAATTTCGGCCACCTGCGCTTTGACTCTGGATCATCATCATCATCAGCAACCTCATCTCCATTTTGATTTGATCCTACAACTCCAGCTTCTGCATCATCCTCACTTGGTGATATGGGAGATAACTCAGTATTGCCATTTGGATCTAGGTGGGGTGCATTTAATAGTTTCTCTGCAGATTGATACATCTCTTTAGTGAATAAAATATATCGTAGCATTTACAGAACAGAAGCTGATAGAGAAGTTCCTACCTTCAGCACTTGCTACAGAATGGAGTCTGTCAGACCTTTCTTCTCCTTGACCTGAAAGAATTGTACCCGCTGCTAATCGACGGTTAGGTTCAGGTTTAGGATGATCATGCCGACCTTTATAGATAATTTCCGTAATTTGACCATCATGAGAGCGTTCAAGTTGTTTTTTCATTTGGCAGTTGGGATGTGTGCATTTATAATAGCTCCGAGGAAATTCACTCCCTTTAACATGTTTCTGCCCATATTTGCGCCAGTTATATCCATCTTCCATTGACTTCTCAACGACCGTTGATGGAGAAGATTCATTATTATCACATTGTAATGTCTGCACGCCATTGTCATAACCATTTAGCTGTTGCAAATCATCATGAGTAACACCCTCAGATATATTAACATCTGACGGTAACATCTCGATAGGGGAATCTGAAGCTGTCACCGGCAAAGTTAATTCACGAGAAGATCGAGCCAAGTTCTCAGCTTGAACTAATTGAGAAGATTCCACTGTCTGAGATTGTGTTTGAGCTTGAATTTGTCTGCAAGATTCCTGTTCTTTTTGGGCCGGGGTGATGGAAGTCTATGCAAGAGAATAAAATACACATTACACAAGCAACATCAATAAAGACACATTATGGAACGGCGCATTTTGCGGCGACCAACTACGAAGAAAAAAAAATCTTGATTGAAACTTTATATCAGCAGATGGCCCCATAAATGACAAAATAAGTCATACCTTAAGCAGCTGAACAAAATATTAGCCAACAATCTACAAACAAACTAGCAAAATACCATAATTTGTACTCTTTATCAAATGAGTATAAAATGTAATCTGTAAGGTTTAAGTAAAATGCAAAGTCCAAAAGGAAAGTCATTGCATTAGCTATCGCATCATGCATCAATTATGTAACCTTGCCACGAAAGTTTAGCATCATTTAACATCATGGTTTCAGCAATACTATTTCAGGATCGCAATACATTTCATTCTCTTGTTTAGCATCTTAAAGTATATCAATCTTGCCACTCAGTTGATTCCCTGCGCCATTCTGAAGTAAGATTCAAGAAATTCATTTCACCTTTCTACTTAAGAAATAAATCATTCCCATAGCCTTATGAACCAATACTATATTATCAGCAAATAACGCACACCATGAGGCATCGTCTTAATTATGCCTAGTAGGCTCATTCACAACTAATGCAAAAAGATAAGGGCTCCAATCCTTTATGTAAGCAGATGGTAATAGAAAAACAGTTTTGTCTCTCCCTCAATTGTCCTCACTCGAGTTGTTGCTCAATTATACATATCTTTATCGTGTCAATATATCTATCAGATACTTGTTTTTCCCCCTAAAACCATACATCACTCCATTGACACTATCATTGGCTTTTCTTAGATCAATAAGAATCAAGTATACAGCATAGCTATCTTGTCTCAACTTATGAGATTATACTATGATTTCACAAATTTTAATTGAATGTATTGCGTCTCCTTTAGTAATAATTTTTTCATCATAGACAAATCAAATAAATCTTATACAACTGACGATGAGAATACTTCTGATAAGCCTAGTAGGCTCGTTCATAACTAAAACACGAAGATAAGGGCCTCAATCATTTATGTAAACTGACAGCAGTAGGAAGTGGTTTTGCCTCTCCCTCAATTGTCCTCACTCGAGTTGTTGCTCAAGTGTACATACCTTAATCATGTCAATATCTATCAGATACTTGTTTTTTTCCTAAAACCCATACATCACTCCATCGACACTATCATTGGCTTTTCATAGATCAATAAAAATCAAGTGTACAACATATCTATCTCAACTTATGAGATTATACTATGATTTCACAAATTTTAATGGAATGTGTTGCTTCTATTTTAGTATTAATTTTTAGTATTAATTTTTTTCATCATAAACAAATCAAATAAATCTTATACACCTAATAACAAGAATACTTCTGATAAGCTTTAACTCCCTACTAAGTTAATTCATCATCATCTGTTTTAAAGATTTGTTCCCAACTTAAAACTAAGCCACCATCCACATTTTCTCTCCAATTTAGTTGACCATAATGAAGCATCCTGGAAGTTTTCTCCACAGTATCTTTATCATCTGACATTCATAAAGATTAAAATATGCAAATTCTCAGAATCTCTTTGTTCATCCCTCCTAGAATTGTCTAGTCAAAATCACCATCAGAAGTTCAAGACACTATACCTGTAACTCTCTCAAATTAAGGTAGGCTTGATTATTGAAACACTAGCCACACTTCACTACCCCTTAGTCTAGTAGGGAAAATTTTTACATGAAAGGTTGGCTTATTTGAATAATACGATAGGCATTTCCATCTCTCATGATCTCATCTATACTCCTTTAGGGGGAAAACATTGATATCTGTTAAGAACCTCTCTCTTTACCTTTGCATTCAATAATCCTCCAAATGACTGTTAGAAACTATTTAGTGCAACAGGCCTATACAAAACCACCTCAAACTCTCTTCATTAGGGACCTACTGCATTAGTTTTGCCATCTATTTTTCATCCCTTTTTGTTCCCTTTGTCCCCTTAACCATACCAAGGATACAAAAGTTTTACCACTTGAGAGATCATTTCAGCAAATATTTCTGTTAATATACCATGCCAAATGATCGTCAATTGGATCTAAGAGAAGCCTCCAAGAAATTATGATCCTTGAGGATAACCAGGCATTAGGAAAGGGGCTGAAGAGGATGAATAAATTAAGAAGAGAAAGGCTGTCAGATAAAGTGGTAAACTGTGTTAGAAAGTTCCCACGATGACATTATACTAACTAAACAAAAGACTAGTAGCAATAGATGATGACAAAAAAATCAACACTATTGTGGAGTTCAGTGGGCAACTATGAAACACAATTAAGGAACAGGTATGCAGTGAACATTAGTAGAATCTCACAATAACTGCAACTAAGATAAGAAAATGAGTCTCAATGGATAAGCACCGGTGCCTTCGAATGCTCTTCCAATGGGAAGCTGTAAAACGTTTTTTTATGGATAGCAGAATATAAAATTAGAATTATTGACAAATAGTTTTCTATAATAATGCATATCACAGCATCTGAGCTAGGGAAGATAAGCTCCATACTTCAGAATGATGTAAAATTATAAAACACTTATTTTTTGATATTATAAAACATTTCTTTTTTGAGAACTTTATTTTCTGCATGTCATGATCGATTGATCGAATATATAATTCTGTACTTTTACTGGTAGATAGGTTAATGAATTGTGGCTAAGTTGATTCAGATGCAGGGATTTAGTCTGAACAACGGAAACTAAGCACTTAATAGCCATGATGCATATGCATTGTCTCCACTCTCCAAAGTACTTCACCTTTAACTTGTAAAAACATATAATGATCTCTAAGCGGCTATATTCATCTATTAGAAGATTTGAACACATGAGAAATAAACTCTAATCGGGTGGGATTAATTATGAGGATCATGCTTAAATGAACTCATTGAAAATTCGGAGTATTAATTTCATCTGACTAAAAAAAGGGTGTAAATGTTACCAAGTGTCCCAGGGAGGATAAGCCTGAACGTGAGGATGTCCTGACATGTGGTTTGAACTCGAAATCTCCTGAGATCCCTTCATCATGCACACAGTTCCTGTAATTTCCCTTCGGAGAATATGGCAAGTTTGATCTAACAGTATCATTTACAACTGAATGGAAGGAAAAGGACCCAGTGGTTGGGGATGGTTCTGCCTGGATGACAGCATGAAAAACAGGATTAGTAACATGGAATTATGATTGAAAGCTCCCAAAGTAACTGAGCATATTTATGCATATGCTTCTGGTAGGAAAGTAACGATTGACAATTTCCAATTACCAAGCAGTGACTTCCATCATAATCAATTGTCAGGTATAATTATCTAGTTGACATTTCACATTAATAAAAATGCTAGATTAATTTGGCAGACAACAGAATACCCACTAATAAGAATAAAATGGTTGGGATGGAGAACCCCACTCCAATTCATTCAAGCAAACAAAATAGAGGACAATCACAAGAAGAAGGCATCATAAAATAACATGGTTCAATTCACCAAGTTTGACCTATATCTATGAGGCACAAATAAAGAAATTCACTACGTAAAGAGATCCAGGTTACAAGAGAAATCATTCTCCTCTCTAGTCTCTCATCCTCCCTATCACATAGTTGTCATCATATAACACTTTATCACTCTTAAGTATGAGAAAACAAACCTACTCTCATTTCTATAATGAGTATATAAATAGACACATGGTAGAAGCACGCTGCACTATGCTCACTAAGGGGCTGTTTGTTTCACCATTTCAATAGAAAAGGAATAGGATTTGGGTTTGACAATAACAAAATTGTAAATAAAGAATTCTTTATGAATCCTATTTTTGAGTTTGGTTCCCCAAAAATTTATAGATTTTGGAATCTATAAAGTTGAAAAAGTATGTTGATTTTATAGAAACCCAAATTCTAATGATTTGGGCGGATTTGGGGCAGAAAACTGACGCATTTATACTATTCTCCCTCTTTCTTTTTTTCGGATTCTATTTCTTCACAAACCCTATATTATTATAAGACCAAATCCTATTCTCATTCCAAACCAAGCTAAAGAATAGGAATTTGAGAGTTTCTATAAAGTCGGATTCTATTTTTTCATGTTATGAAACAAACATAGAAATAAAATAAAAAAAAGGATTCCATGACAACATAAAATTGTCTTAAATTTTTTTATGAATTAGCTAGGAATCCATAAAAAATATGAGATTCCTAATCCTAATCTTGCCCACTATTGAACCAAACACCCCCTAATAGTAACTTACATAACAAGATGGTCTCGGCTCTATGGGCCAAGCCAAATAAAGAACTTTTGTGATCCGACCAACTAGAACCAAACACCATGACTGGCAATTAAGGAACCTGGATGATAAACCAAATGCAAGTAACAACCCCAACAATCTCTATTTGGCTCGAATGTTATAAAACACACATTCTGCACATACACCATACTTTTGCCATCTACTTTTTAGGAAAATACTGCAAATGCACCATGTTCCGCCTCTTGAAAACAACTCGTGCAATCATTCTGAGCGTTGTGATCATCTTAACTTCTCCCACCCAGAAACATTGCTCTTGAGCGCTCATGATCTCAACATCATACTCCTCTCAGCATTTATGACCACTATACCGCCCAGGGGGGATCCAAATAGACTTTAGGTTAGGCAAGTTCCCAACCTGAATATTGGAAAAAGTATCAAGTTTATGATACCTTGTATCCATTACCCCCATCGCACATTTACCAGTGTGTATCACCTTCTCTTTTATTTTTAGTTTATCTCACCCTCTAGATCTCATCCTAAAACTTAAAACTTCAGTGCACTTTAAGAGGCTACCTACCTATTTTAATTAAGCCATGTATCCATTTATTGCTAATATACCGAGTGTGGTAATGTTTCAATTTTGAAAATTATGCATGACCTTTTAGGGGCTGTTTGGTTGTATGTTTTTACCATGTAAAATGATGGAAAGTGTAAAAAGGTGGGTCCTAATGTCAGCTTTTATTACTTTACATTGTTTGTTTAAATTCTTTTTTACATGAAAAGCTTACACCTTTTGATGAGGTGTCACCGAAAGCAAAATCACCAAAATTAGGAGTGATTTTGTTGGAAAGCTTACACAATGTCATAAATGTGTCCAAAAAAATAATAAAAAAGTCAAAACCTTGTAGAAAGTGGTGAGGTGGATAACCACTTTCCATTTTATGTCATAAATACTCTAGTTTACATTATACTATCCAAACAATGTAATACTATTATTTTAGGATTCACAAAGATTCCTAACCAAATAATGTAAACACTCGAATGAAAAATGGTGAGGTAGATAACCACTTTCTATTTTGTGTCATAAATACTCTAGTTTCCTAAAGGCATCCAAACAGCCCCTTAGTGCTTTATCTAGATAAAAGTTCACTGTCAGCCCCTAACACCAACCCTCTACCACTCTTGATCACGTCAACATGCCCACTAAACAACCATGATCACAACATTGTGCTCCACCTTGGTCAAAATACCAGAAACCGTGAGTGCTTATGAATACCTTGTTCGTTCCGCACTGAAGGATTGAGTATACAACACCATCCGCCACAACATATCTACAACCATCCTAAAACCATGACGCCACTATTGTGCACCTAATCCTTACAACCAGCCACCGTCAAACTTTGATCACGCTAGTCTACACAGACCTCGTTGATCACCATTGATCTCTCCTGAGGAGAATACACCTGATCAACATCTATCACTGCATCTGAAATGTTGAAAGCTTGGTCATCACCTAAATTTTCTTATCACAACCTGTGGACCGTAGTCCACCAGAAATACAACTCATTGCTAAATTATTTCTCTAACTCCATAGTAGAGTTTGGTAATAGCCTACTAAGTTTCACGCAAAAGCCCAAAATACAACTCATTGCTAAATTATTTCTCTAACTCCAATGGAGTACAACTCATTTCTTATCACAACATTGTACTATCACCTTAGTAACCTTACACTACTTTCTACTATCCCATAGTAGAGTTTGGTAATAGCCTACTAAGTTTCACGCAAAAGCCCAAAATACAACTCATTGCTAAATTATTTCTCTAACTCCAATGGAGTACAACTCATTTCTTATCACAACATTGTACTATCACCTTAGTAACCTTACACTACTTTCTACTATCCCATAGTAGAGTTTGGTAATAGCCTACTAAGTTTCACGCAAAAGCCCAAAATACAACTCATTGCTAAATTATTTCTCTAACTCCAATGGAGTACAACTCATTTCTTATCACAACATTGTACTATCACCTTAGTAACCTTACACTACTTTCTACTATCCCATAGTAGAGTTTGGTAATAGCCTACTAAGTTTCACGCAAAAGCCCAAAATACAACTCATTGCTAAATTATTTCTCTAACTCCGATGGAGTACACCAGAGAACTTATTTGGTGTTTCTCGTGTGAACATACATAAAATGCTCCCTGTACAACTTCACGTGTGACATGCAGATGCAAAGCATGTGACTTCTTCAATTGGTTCCATGAGCTTGAAACTTTACCACCTCCACGTATTCTTTAGGGTTTCAACCAAACCACTAATTTCAATAAAGTTTGCACACCGCCATATTCGGTCCACAACATTATCAGGTATTGCCACTTCAAGTTAATTTATCAACCATGTAGCATGTTGTATGCGAGTTCAATAACTATCATGCACTATCGTGCAACCGGCCCACATGACCCTGCATCGTATGTGCTCCTCAAGCCAACCTATGTAGCACTTCACATGGTCACTAGACCATCCGCATGTGACACTTTCACCATTTAATCATCCCTAACTTGCTTCCTCTTTCCACTTAAACACTGCATCTTTCTATCAACTGTTGTCGTCACACCAGTAATTCTAGTCGCGCATATATGCCAAAAGCAAGGAATTCATTCGTCCATGCAGTTATTGGTGTTGCTCTAGTGAGAGTCATGCCTTGTCTCCTCATGTCATGCTTGTGTCATTGTCTTGCTCTCTCTCATTGTTGCTCTTGTATAACCTTGAGATCATCCTCTACTATGGATATACCTCCTAGGAAATTAGGAGATCAAACACTCAAGATACCCATCTTATTGACCACCAGATCTCTGACCTCCTTCTTTCCTTCTTCCTCTCAATGTCACGGTAGAAAATACTTATTGGCTTGACGTCCAAACCCCATCTTTTGGTCTGTAAATAAATCCATCACCATAGCTTGTTGATACCCATGTCGAGAATGGAGAACTATTTTTACATGCACAATACAACCGGTTCGACTGACCAAACTTGACCTACATCTATTGGTTGCCAATAGAGATTCACTACATGCAAGAGAAATTATTCATCTCTTTTATCTGTATTGTCCCACATAGAATACAAAACAGACTTATACACTTAGGAGATTTGGTATATCAAAGAGAACCTAAGAACTCAAAAGCTAGTTAAGAGGTAACAAGTGGTTATAACAGGACCTTAAAGTCATTGTAGCAAATTTCTCAAACCAGGGCTATTCACACGCCGTAATTTCTGAATGTACCGCTTCATTGATATCTAGCCCATCCCTTCTTTACCTTCTCTTTCTGGCTTGCAATTTTGACCACAAAATAAACACAAACACAGAAGTCAAAACCACCACCTTTTCCATGATACAACTGATGGGGATACATGTAACAAACAATAACAAATTCCATTTCAATTGCACTCGGTTTAAATTTGAAAAAAAACCCTAAATCACACGCATATAACAAGGTTTCTAGCATGGCAGAAAATATCACGAACCCGAATGGTGTTGTCTTTCTTCTCCTCACTCTCGGACATTGTCCTTAAATGCCTCGGCTTCCTCAAGCTCTCAAAGTAGTTCCTCTCTTACATCCCCTCACACGTCCTCAAGCTCCCACAACCGCATTCACGTTAGAGAGGAACGAATCCCTCCCCGAATATGACCTCCCTCCCCCACCGAAACACCGACAGGCCACGACAAAAACAAACAACAAAAGACCCCATATTTCCATCATGAAAGGGAAATAAAGCATAAAGCTTCAACCTCAAGAGACATATTCCCGATCCGTTTGATCCAACCCAATTACAAAAAGCAGCAACTTTGTCATATTTTTTTGACGTCACAAGTACCAGAATAAAGCCATATGAACAGAATAACTCCGAGTGGGCATCCGAATCCCCTCAACGGCCAAAAACCAACCGCACCATTTAAAAAAGACGACAACTTTCCAGCTAAAATACCCGCCACAGAGTGATCTATAGAACAGTAGCAGAAACCCTAAATCAGGACGGCGGAGAGCAGTAGGGGGGAAAAATGGATCGAACCTTGATATTAGTGAGGAGAACGCGGCGATTCGAGCAGGGATCCCGGGCTGAGCCCGGGCGAGACAGTGAGGCACGGGGATCGAGAGATCGGGAGCTTGGCCGGCGACATCATCTTGTACCGGCCCCGACGGAGGAAACCCTGGATCAGAGACCCGGTGGGTTCGCAATCGGGGCGGGTATCGGAGTTCGGGCGCATTGTAGGATGCGAGAAAGGGAGGGAAGTGGAGGGGAGGGGAGGGGAGCTGCTGGAGCGGGGCGAGACAGGAGGAGTGGGGGGGGGATCCGTTTAAGGGGCTCGGGAGAGGAGAGGGGCAGTTTGGGGATTTCGCTGGGGTTTTTTTTTTTAAATCTTTTTTGGCCTGAACTTGTGTGTGGAGTTGGTGTTGCTTGTCAGAGTCCGGGGCGGACTGCAAGTTGACTTAACCTGGGCCTGCACTTTATTTATGTTTTTTTTGTTTAGATTAGATCCGTGATGTTTTATTTCCATCCAAAAATATGGATAGAATAAGGGTTATGTTAAGCGCACATGAAATGGGTATGTTTAGTTACTGACGGGTGGGGTCGGGTTTATTTATGGTATTGGGGCTACACACGGTCGCTGACAGAAATTAAATTGAATGGGGCCCATCGTTATTAGCGTGTTTGATTGGGAAAATTGCTGCATGTATGTTTGGTACATTTCTGAAAAGAAAAAAAAGAAAGAAAACAAAAAATTTGGATGAAAATTATTTCTTGACATTTCAGAGGATTTCCCCTATTTGACTTATTTGGTTTGTTTCACATTGAAGTCATAGGCTGGAAAACATAGTTTCTCATTTCTTAGGTTTGTTTGAACATCCTAAAATCAAGAAATCAAATGAGCTTTTTTCATTTCTTCAACTTCCAACGTTTGATATGCAATTGGATGAAAATGAGAAATGTTGTCTAATATCACCACGGTGACCTTACCTTCCATAAAAGCAACAAACATTTGTCAACTGTTAACAGCTCATAAACCCCCAACGGTAATGTTTGGGCAACAGTCAGAAAAATGCCCCTTGCCACAGTAACTATACCTGCACATATAAGCATTGTGAGATGAGTTAGCATTTGCAACTCAATTCTCACTCAAAATCCCTCTACAATTTTCAGAAGTCTGAGCAAAGCTTTCATTCAAAGGGGTTTTTTTTTCAAGCTGAGATGAGCTATGTCTGCATCCCAAGTGTCTCAAAATCAAGCAACCGAGGTAACTTGCTTTTGTAAAATACCGACACCATTAAAGCTCTGTAAAAATGGAACGAACAAGGGAAGATACTTTTAGGGCAGCGCCAAATACCCAAATAGGCAATGCAAATTTTTTTGTCTAAGCCGAAGATGAGCATGATATCAAAAGGGGAAAATAAAAAAAGATGAAGCTTCTCTTCAAGTAGTTTCAAAAATAAAAGATATGCAAACAAAGCACTTGAGAAGAGAATTGAAGCTCTCAAATCAACAAATCGATTGTTTGAAGAAATGTCTTGTTGTCTTAGGGATATTCAGTGTTTTTCTTGTTGTCGTAAACATTGTAATTTGTACTTTGAAAATATAATGCATAAATCTCTTCAGAAGGCGAAATAGCATGTGACATTTCTGAGATCATTTACGGAAGTGACGAAATTAATCAAATGACGAAACAAATGTGCTCAGATATTTGTCAACAACATCATATATTCTACACCAGTCAGTTAATCTACACAATGTTAGCTGCATATCTTAATAAATAGTAAGACTGCCTCGTCTTGTCAATTGGTAGGATACTTACCAGCTAAATATATTATGAAGCTAATAGTCATCATTGCACTGAACAAATATAGATATATTCATGTGTATATATATATATTTGTATGAAAAAATCATAACAAGCAGGGTATTGCTTATAAAATCTCAACTACAAATAAAAAAAGGCATATATGCATCAAAAAGTATACAGATCTATGGAAATAATGAGCAATAATTAATAGTATTGAAATAGGATGCTAAGAGGCATTTAGGCAACCCAGATCTTTAAAATGTTGAGGAAAACAACAATTACTAACATATGTGACAACTGCAAATGAACCAGCCTATGAAGTGTACTGAAACCTCTTCAAATGTACGGAAATGGGCCTATGAAGCTCGATATAATGAAATATGGGGTTAAGATGCAAGAAAACAACCCAGTTCTTGAACATTATGTCAGAAAACAGAATTTGCTAATATATGTGAAAACTGTAAGAAAAGAAGCCTTCTGCATATGAATTCAGACATGAAAGCAAACCTATAAATACCCAGTTCTTTAGCATCATATCAGAAAAATAGAAATTAAAAACATCTGTGAGAATGATTATCAAAGTATGAGATAAATGTGCTTAGATATATGTCTATATCATCATATATCCAACACCAGTAAACGATTGAGTCACAATGTTGGCTGCATATCTGAACAATTACTTACATCGATAAGTAAATGGTGGGACTGCCTCTCCATAACATTGCATGTAAAATTACTGGTTGGTTGAGTATATCAGAAGAAGACAATCATCACTGCACGAAATATATGTAGACATTTTTTAACAACTGTAAGCTACAGGTTGTGCATGTGTATACAAACTGACAATAAACAGTGCTCAAGTTGGTCATCAACAATTAGTAATGTAAGAACAACATGTTTTTAACAACTATAGGCTGCAATCTAATACATTGGTCATGCCAATATGAAATTGCCTCGCCTTGACAGTGTTCATTTACATATGATTGCATATATCATTTGCATGCACTCATCATAACACCGTTCGAGGAAGACAAAAAAAGTGACAGTTTGTCATACCGGTGAGTACTCTCAATGAATGTGGCACTTAAATCATGTGACAATAATCCAATGTTTACCTGCATTTATCAAAAAATTAGTATGACATAAATTAAGCTGCTTGCCTCTAGCGAAATCATCACATTATAAATACATACTGATGTTGGACCCTAGAGTGGGGGTGATTAGGGTCTTATGCTAATCTAATCCGATTTTATACCAATTAAAACTAATTAACAAGTTATCCTAGCAGGTATAAAATACAACAAGATATATGAGCTAGGATAAGCAATATGAACAAAGAGATATATCTTAGCAATGAGATATACTATGAGATATATGCAATGATATACAACTTAACACAAGGGTGAAATAAACATAAACAAAACAAGAGTGATAGTGTGCAAATAAACAATGCAAACACACAATATGATCACGGAGTTCGGAGCTTCCGTCCTACGTCTCCGCTCCCCACTCCCGTGGAGAAATCCACTATCACAACCGGGTTTTCTACGCTTACCCGAACAAGGTTTACACCTCACACTATGGTTTTCTAGTTTACAGAAAACTCTACAATCAACACTCTTGCAATCTCACTCTACACTCTCTCAAGTGTTGAACTAGACGTGTCTCCCTCAAGTGCTCGGATACAACCTCTCCCTAGGTTCGTCAACCGACACCACTCCTCTTGGGACGATTCCCGACTCTCGCCACACACTTCTCTCGGTGTACAAGTGTATTACAAAGTGAATCTCATAATAAACATAATACAATAAATGATTATTCTCTAATATGGATGAGAACACAATGAAAGCTCACTCTCTAAGTTACACAATCCCACAACCTAATTATATTATGAATGTAAATACAATAAGCTCAATGGTTGTGTGTGTGTAAACAAAGAGAAAATAAAATCAACTAAACTTGATATGAACACTAGCTTAATAAAATGATAATCAAACAATATAAAATATAAAGCTAGATTGAGTTTAGAAAACTTCTCAATAGATCAAGAGTGGAAGGAGAAGAGTTGGATGTTCAAACACCAATAGATGATCTCCCCAAGCTCTTGTGAAATTGATTTCACAAACTCAAACTCTTAAATGCTTAAAAGCTTCTTAAACAAACTTAACCCAAACTTAAACTCTTGTTTAAAACTCTTTAAACTTGTTTTAAAACACTCTCTTTCTTGTTATGAGAATTGAGATCAATGGGGTATTTATAGCCTCCCAAAACCTCAGTCAAAAACCCCAAACAAAAGACCAAAAAGCCTAAGAATCAAAAATCTGATTCTGTACCAAATTGACCGTTGGGGTGAACGGCGGTCGACCGTGAAAATCTCACTATCGACTGCAGTCGACCGTGGCGGTCGACCGTGGGAATTTTCGAGCTGACAGTCGACCGTGACGGTCGACCACGAAAGTTGTTGATGGCTTCGCAGGGAAAATCAAAGGCGCGGTCGACTGTAAATTAACATATGAGAAAACAGGTTTAAAAGTTGATTTTTTGATTTTAAAACCCTGTTTAAAAATATCAAATAAATTCCAAAAAATATAAAACTTTGGGGAATGATTGTAGACATGATAATAAACATGCTATAAAGACTGGTTTTCAAAAAGGACCTCCCAAATAAAAAATATTATTATTTTACAAAATAGTTCAAAACATGAAAATGTAAACATATGAATTTGGCATTTTGGCTAAACCATGTTTTGAAACAATACAAAATAATTTTGTAGACTTAATAGAAGATGTAAACTATTGTTATGAAGTCTATAAGCAATAAATATAGTATTTTATCAAAATACACGTATAAAACACTAAAACATGATTTCATGGAACTAAATAAAATTGATATTGATGAAATCATATAAATGCATATAAGTATGAAACAAAAATATGTTTTCTAATTGTATTCAATTGTTTCATAGTAAATCTTGAAACCTATCAAACCAAAACATATATGTATATATATAACTATATATATACAAAACCAAAACGTGTATGTGTGTATATGATTGAGCTTAAAGTACTAACACACATAATATAAACCTAAACTAAATATACTCAAGCTTGTGATTTTCAACGAAACTCTATCTTGGTACACTCACGGATAAAGCTTGAACTTGAAT